GAGGGTCGCTAGTGGTGGCACAGTGGAATTCCCGCGGACATAGCCGATTCTCCGTGTGACAGGGGTATCGTGTCCTTATGAGCTCGTTTATTATAGGGGTGAAATAGTCTGGGTCATAGGATGAGTCTTAGCCCCAAGATCACATCATGGTTTCATCGTCGGTGGAATAGCGTGGGTCGGGATATCGTCACCGCGCGTGAGCACGTGTCGGAGTGGCGAACTTAGTTGCGCCCCGGCGTGCTCGTGCGGGATAATGGTTCCGCCGCGAGTCCTGTTTGGGCGGGCGAATCGACGCACGGGAATGCGTGTAAGGGTGCGACTCGGATCTCGTTTACACGTGTTCTCGCGCGGCGTTCACGGGGCCAAATTTCGGATCGTCGATTATGCAAGATGCAATCATAACACAATCCCCATCATGAGATAAGCAGAACGAGAACAAACCCACTATCAAGACCAGATTCCTATCCCATCTACTGTGACATCAGGCGCAGGCAAAGGTTCGACACAGACATAACACAAGGACAGGGATTCTCAGCAAAAAGATAGACAAGCAGTCCCCTCATCCATACATTTGACCATCACGCACATAATGCAAGCAAAAACGGACATCGCAAAGACAAATATGAGCAAAAATCCAAGCCCAAATTTTAGAAAGTCGAAACGAAAATAAGAACGGGCAAACCCCCCGGAGCCGCAATCAAAATGTATGTACACAGGTAGAGAGGGGGAAGAGACAAAGAAACATCAAATCCGCATCCATCGACCTCAACTCTCCTTCCTTTCTCTCTCTCTCTCTCCGATGCGGACAGTCCGTCGTCACGCACCAACCCACGAAGTTGTCACCCCGCTTAGTCCTCCCGCACCGTCAGATTCGCCCGTGCCCACAGTCCGTCGTGGCCCACGTCAATCCCATGCGTTCGGCACCAGCCCGTCGGGTCGCCCAACTCCTACTCTACTCACCTCTTACTTCGCTCGTGTGCCGCCCCTTCCTGATCGCACAACCCTGAGCTTCCAACGACGGGTTAAGAGAGCTGACTAATCGCGCAGCTGAAATTTATAGCGTGCATGCATGCGCGAAGAACACGGAGTTACCAAGACTTAGAGTGAAGATAAGAGAGGGAACGCCTGCGTTCTGCATGATCGGTCGCGGCGTGGGGGACGAAACCCCTCTCCACGCATCGATCCGAGCATGCAAGCCGCGACTTACAAAATTTCAGCAAAAGAAAGAGAGGGAGGGCGGGAGAGACGAAGTGCAAGAAGAGAGATGCAGTTACAATGGCGCCCGCCCCAAATTACAGTTACACATACGATTAAGGGCGCCCACCAATCAGAGTACCGTTGCAGCCGCATGAAGAAGCGCATAAACAAAAGGCGTCGCGCGGCAGGAAAAATCCTAATTACTGAATTCCTAAATTCCTATCTAATGCGAAAGAGCAAAAAACACGAATTCCAGAAGGAAAGTCCGAAATTTCGAGAACCATTGGGGGCTCGACAAAATTCGAAAAAGATTCAAGAGGAATTTCAAAAAAAGAACGAAGCAATTTCCCGCGCGATGTTTGCACCCAAAAAGATCGAAACCGAACCGAAAGAAATGACGTCGACATTTATTAATCGCGCGCGTACGTGGCGTCACGCCAAACAACCATCCGACCAATCAATTAATTCAGAAAGATGATCATTTCCTACGGATTAAACCCATTCCGTGGAAATCCGCAGAGTGCGATATAGAAATTTGGGGAATTCCTTACAACGCCATCATAGACTCAGGAGCAGCTGTGTTGGCTATTTCACTGAGAGTGGTCGAAAGGGCAGGTAGGAAAAACGACCTGATCACGCTTTCTGAGAAAGATCGGCTCGTTTCGGCTGATGAAGAAAAAATTAAAATCATGGGAAGAATGACCAATGTCGCTTTCCGATTGGGTAAAGTGCATGCGCTTGGGGATGTAGTAGTACTAGATGTCAATACGTACGACGTTCTCTTCGGACTTTCCGCTCTTGTGGCGTTACGAGCAAACCTGGACTTCGAACGACGATCGATCGTCCTCCGAAATACAGGAGGAAAACCCTACGATGTGCACATGCGATTGACCCTTCGCACTACTATTAACACGTTCCCCGGGTTTCGCCGATGATGGCAGGGACTCTCCGCATGATCTCCTGGGAGAAATCCGTAGAAGGAGAGTCGTTAACAGATGATGCGGAAAGTAGTGACGAGGATGATCCGAATTTCTTGAAATTAGCACGACAACGTATTTGTTACCCACCGCCCAAAACGATAGCGAGAACGATGCAACTAACCAGCCGAAAGATTCAAAGGACCAAGGCGATGATCTTGGGTGAGCTCCTCGTACAGATTTCAAGGATGGTCGATTCTTTGGAACCCCCTCAAACTCTGTACGAAGGAATCACCCCTCTCCTCGCCCGGTACAGCGACAAGAAGCATTACTGTGACATTACGGCTCTACCCAAGTCCTTACTAACCTCGGCCAAAGAAGTGAGATTGTTACACTTAGGGGCGGAAGCAAGCTCTCTGGAACCCCCTGGGCGTTTTGAAGCGGAAACCGACGAACTGGGAATAAAGATCGCAACCAAGGAAGTGCCATGGCAGGATGTTTGTGACGGGATTACCCCGGAAGGACACGTGGCAATCCGAGAAGATGATGCTCAGATGATGGTCACGGTGTTCTCCTGGCGATCGGATCATTCATTCATCTCGGCGCCTCCACCTGATTTGACAAAACAGGCGAACACGAAACAGATTGACGTTCGGATCTGGGACCAACTTTTTGAACTATACGTCCCACAATATGTGCCGGATGAAATCCACCGGGTAATTGCCAACATTCTTACAGAATATCAAGAAGCGATTAGTGTGTTCGACACTGACATTGGGCTGTCATTAGTAATCCAACACGAAATTCAGACAGGAAATCATTCCCCAATTCATTGCAAACCTTATCGTTATTCCTTGATTGAACGCAAAAAGGTTCTCGAACGAATTCGGGAGTTCGAAGCCAGTGGTTGGATTGAACCCGCTATTGGACCCTGGTCCTTTCCTGTAGTGTTAGTACCGAAGAAGAACGGAGCGATTCGCATTTGCATTGATTATCGCAAGCTGAATGAAATCACGATCAAAGATGTGTATCCCCTCCCTCGGATTGATAATTTGTTGGATTCGATTGGGTGCGCTAATTATTTCAGCAAATTTGATATTCGGCATGGCTTCCATCATATTTTGGTAAGGGAAGAAGATCGACCAAAAACGGCCTTTGTGTTGTTTGAGGGCACGTGGCAGTGGGTTCAGTGTCCGATGGGGATTTGCAATGCGCCTGCCACGTTTCAGCGAGCGATGAACATGACGTTCCATAATTTCGTCAACAAGACACGGCTGACGCAAGGGATGATCAACTTCTGTGAGATCGTGTACATGGACGACATCCTGGTCTATTCGGAGACCTATCACGGGCACGCGCAACACATCGAGTGGACATTGGGCGCACTGAGAGATGCTGGGTTCAAGATTGCGCTCGAGAAAAGCGAATTTTTCCTCTCGGAAATTTCGTTCTTGGGCTACGTCGTGACACGTGGAGGATTGCGGCCGGACTCGAGAAACGTTGCGGCGGTGAAGGAAGCCCCGGTTCCCACGTCACTGACGCAGGTTCGAGCCTTCTTGGGGCTGGCGTCGTACTACCGGCGCTTCATCAAGGGCTTTGTCGCGATTGCACGACCGCTAACGAACCTGTTACGGAAGGACCAACCTCTCAGTTGGGACGCGGAGTGCCAACAGGCCTTTGCAACCCTCAAAGACGCTCTGGCAATGGCCCCTATTTTGATTCGGCCGGACCCCTTGAAGCAGTTCATTCTCATCACGGACTGGCAACCGGAAGCTATTTCCGCTATTCTAGCACAAAAGGGGAACAATGGTCGCGAACACGTCATCGAGTACGCGTCTCGAACCGCACCGGACGAACGAAGAAACGACTCCGCACCTCAAGGCGAGTGCTATGCGGTAGTTTGGGGAATCCAACACTTCCATCCGTATCTCTACGGACAGAAGTTTCGCCTCGTAACGGATCACGAGCCTCTGCTAGCGCTGAAGAAACTCACCAACTACACGGGCATGATTGGCCGTTGGGCGGTGCGACTACAAGAATACGACTTCGATATCGTCCATCGAAAGACAGAGCGGCACGGCAACGCGGACGGGCTGACACGTCTGCACCGACCTGTCAAGGTACCAAAGAGTGAGGAAATTACACCGTGGAAAGAGCCAGACTTGACCAACGAGCCGAAATACGGACAAGTGGCAGTTCTCCCACGTGGCAAGAAGCAAAACGGTGGCGACGAGTGATGGAGGTAACCCCACTACCCCTCTTTCTCCCCCTTCCTCCTCGTCTCTCCTCTCCTTGCCTGACAAATTTTGCTACTTTTGCGAAGCTATCTCCCGCGTATATACGGTCTCCATGCGTCCTAACTGGGAAGGGTATGCGGATTGGATAGATTGCTAACAGTGTGTTGCACGAGCCCATGGCTCGTGCATCCAATACAGAAACGATAGTAAGCCATGGTTGTGCCCCTTGTGCCGGATCGACAAGATTCCAACCGAGGCTCGCTTTTTGGATGCCATGTCAGAAGGATTGGAAAAGACCCGAAAGTTTAGAAGGGATGAAGTATGGACGGATATTGCCTTAATTGCCACCCTAGTAGGTAACCCCCTCCAAGATCTCACCAAGGAAGATCGGAGGAGGGCCAATGAAAGGGCTCCGGATTATCGATGGATAGAGGGTAGATTAGAAAAATGGAAAACGGACGGCAGTGGGATTTGGATGGTGGTGTCGCATCCGTTCATGCGGTATGACTGGGTTAAGACAGCCCACGAGGAAACTGCGGCTCATTTTGCTGTACGAATCACAGAGTCCGCTATCGACAAAAATGAGTGGTACTGGTCCAATATCCGCGACGATGTGAAGTACATCGTCGCCACCTGTCAAGTCTACGCCGCTGATAAAGCGTCGATTCAGCCGCCGAGATTGATAATGCCATACGGAACACTGCACCCCACATGTCACAATCCAATGGGCTGGTCGAAAACGCTAACCGGATGATAAAGACAGCGTTGCGACGAAATATCGCGGCACGGGATCCGAGACCCTGGCCCGATATCGTCGATCACATCCAGGCAGTCCAT